ACCGGAGAATTGCGGTAGTGCTCTACATTCCTTTCCAACCCCAACACACTCTAGCATATTTTAACCGATCTCACCGCTGGTAAACGAAAACCGTCGAGTACTTCCATAAAATGCACGGCATGATCATGACGAGCAGATTCAATAAATGCGTAGCGCATACTACTACCGTTTTTGAAATTCACAGGAATATAGAAAAATTCTACATCGTTTTCAAGCCTTGCTCGTCTATCGCCTCCAATAGCCTATGCTGTGTATATTTATTCGGAATATTCCTCGGCATCACCGTAGTAAGCTCCTCCTCATTTACCTCATAGTCGACCTCATCTCTTCGTACAGTGGCAAACCCCGGCGTAAATGCTGGCGTATCAACGACAGGAGAGTTAGGTTCCTCACTAAGAGCTTCTAATCCCATCGTAACAAGCTCAGCACCAACAGGGGCCATCCCCACTTCGTCGATTCTTATCGTTTCAGGTGGGCACGTAGACGCTCTATTAAAAACGCCCGACTTCTGCACACCAAATTCCAAAAATGTGTTCTTCACAAAACCCTCAGGATCGCTGTTTCCCCCAGTCAGGGACAAACCACTAGTTGCCTCTTACTACCATTGACCAACTGCTGTATCAGCTTATCAACATTACTATTACCCGACAGTACAACTTCATCAGTCGGACTCCTCATACTCAAGAACCTCTACAGAATCACAAAATTCTACGTATGTGCTTCAGCGGAGCGAAGCGATTCATGATTACCATTTTCCGATGACAACTCAAAACGCAACATGCAATAACGCATTATCTACCACCTTTCCTTCTACCATCAAGGCATCTCATAGTAGCTTGTAATTGATAACGGAGATAACATAAAATAATTCTTGCCGATTATCTTTCTACTGCCCGCAACGTTTTCGGCAGATTCGGCAAATGCGACCAATTAAATGAGAGACTACGACGATAATAACAACAATAATGAACAACGTTTTGCTCACCAGCCAGTAAGGCATAAACTATACAATACAGAAATGCACCACTAGTAGCCTCATTAATGCATCAGATAAATTGACGTGCATATCACAATGGCCGCACGTTCACTACTACTATGGTAAGGTTTCTAATAGACTCCTCACCTCGACAGAACAGTGAAGAGCTATAGGACATAAAACTTGTCAAGACATTATATTGTGATATCAACCGAATGCTCAGCAGATCTACCAGCAGGGTGGAGGTCTACCGCATTCCCCATAGGGTCCATTTCGACGTAGTTTGCCGCGACAAGCGACTTCGTATCTACAACACGCTCGGAAAAATAAGGCCAATTCGAAAGTACTTACTTCCAACACCAAACGGTACGTTAGGTACTACTTCTCCCCTGACATTATCACTAGGCTCACCCCAGCTGAAGAAAACCACGAGAAGTGATTCGCAAACTTCATCAAGCTCTCGCCCACCTGCATTGCGAGTCGATGAGAAGCGTACCGAACTTTATTCGCATATACCCATGTTCCCCCCAAAAGCTTCCCCACGAATTACGCATTATCCAATATCTAAAAACA